GTGATGCAGGTCGAAGACTATCAGTACATCAACCTATAGTCGATAGCGTCTTCAGTAACTGTGTCCTATTTAATGTTTGTATGAACAACACTGTAGATAGAAGCCTATGTCATTTAGACTGAAAGCAAGACATGTTGTGTTTTTGCATATGTGTGTGTGTTGTGTAATATTTATAGTAGGTGTCTGCCATTTTTTACACTGTACATAAGCACTCAGTTTCAACTTATGACCCATGGCACATTTTAACAGTGCTACGTGTTATGTACTGTGAGAAGTTACAGGCTAGGTCATCACAGCCTGAAAAGAACCGGTGGAGACCCACTGTGACGCAGATTTCAATTAGCACAGAGCGGTCCCAGCGCACAGTCAAATAAATGAAGAGCCCCCCCCCCGTTGAGCAGCAATGCTACAATGCACAGGATTTCATTGTTCATTAGACATCTATGAACCTCAGGGCCAAAGGTTTTATTTACTGTATATCCTTATGATTATCTGATAATAAAGAGTTGGGGGAGTCATTGCAGAAAGCTGCTGTCAATTTTGACACCATAGGTCATCAAAGTGAAAGGTTTGTCAAACTCTCTCTTCAAACACGTAGAAGGGTTCACACTGAGTAAGATTTGAAGTGAAGTGAACTTTTGATTCTTTTTAGGCAGATCTTCAATACTATCTATATATACTAGATAGTTATACTACAGTTTGTAGGTCTGAAGTGATCTATTAAATAATACTGAAATACATTGGTACAAATAGGACTCCGTATACCCTCTTTTCTCTTTCTCGGTTGTACCTCTCTGCCCTCTTGTGGATGTAAAGGATACAGCAGCCAGATTGTATGAAAAAATTCAGTTTTCCATCTGCAAGAGTCTGAAGTCTTATTAAGTTACAGCTGTAGATTATATTTTCCTAGATAAGAAACATGCAGCCTTTCAGACACAATCATGAATACAGACGTGAATGCATGTACACATATATACACAGGTACATCCATCACTCATTCACAGGCCCATAATCATATGAGTATAAAGGCTGAAAATGAAGATAAGATGTTGGATGAATGTGGGGGAGCTGAGAGCACCTCTGTGTGTCTGTTGCGTCCTCCCACTCAGTGTTCAGTGTGAGAGGCAGACGCAGAGCATTTAGTCTATTTCAGTCCCTGGATATGTGAGGTCTTTTCTTCACTCTTCCCTCCAAGACCAGAGTGAGTCATCCTCACTTGTACACAATCTGACTCCTGCAGGCAGCAAAGCAACGCTGATAGAAAAATAAGACCCTCAAAATTGGAATAACACTGTGGGCAATCACGTGCAAATAGTTTCTACTTACTGTAAAGGATTGGCATCTGTCACTGTTCAGAGTTTGGAAGTGTGTGTCTCTGTCATGTGCTGTATAATCTTTCTTGTATTCTCTTATTTTGTTTTTCATTTTATATCTTGGTTTTTGCCCTGCCTTATCTTACGACTTCCATAAAGCACCACCATTAAAGTGTGAACAGAATAAAAGCTTAAGTTCAAACAACAACGTTCAAACAAAATTCTTTTTATATTGTTATTTTTTAGTAATATTAAAGGATAAAGTTGTAGCATTTTATATGTTGTTCTTGCTGTCAACAAATTGCAACAAAAGTCCAAACCAACATGGCTGGCTAATCAGAAATAGAAATAGACAAGAAGGCAAAAATGTGTATTTCCCAAAAAGTCAAGCTATGGTTTTAAAGCACAGACATGGGATCCAAAATGTTGAACTATTCCTTTAAAGTTGACACAGGGCTGAAACAGTGACAGGGAAGCGCATGACCATGCTTGACCTTTCATGTGTTTACGGAGATGAAACTAGATCAGCTGTGTTGGTGTCACTGTGAATAAAGAGTGAAAAAAATTCTTGTAAATTGTATTGGTGTCATGTTGATAAATGATGTAACACCATCATGTGTCAAGAATCAGCAGAATGACATCTAAATGTAAATGTCTGTGGAGCAGCAAGCTTTTTGTCCCTGTGCAGCTTTAACCTCATTCAGCTACATAATCTGATACTGTAAAATCTTAGTCAAGCTTATATGCACAAGACATAAGATGAGACTTTCTTGGTCTTCAATTTTCTCACATGGTTAAACCCATTTTCACCGCTGGGGTCAGAGTGGGTGTGTGTGTTGTCAGCTGTCACAGTTGTCTGAGTTCATGTGGTTCAGTGTTTGAACCGAAATAAAGGCACAAAACCCTTTTGAGAATAGTGAAAAGTTTATAGAGGAGGTGTTTCAGGAGGAGGGGCTGCAGTTGTTGCAAGGTGGGGCAGTGTTTTAAGGGACACTAGATGATCTCTTCAGATAAAGATCTGTCCAAACAGCTCATAGATAACCAGCCGTAACAACTACTGTAAATTAGTGTCATGTGATCCTGCTTCTTTGCTCAGATCACATGGAGCCACTGCATGCTCAAGTGACATCTATTCATCTTGTTCCCTCTCTGTGCCTCTTTTCTTCTCATTTTATATCCTTCCTCTTCTTTCATTTTCATCTTTCAAATGCTCCATCCTTACTTTGATATTGTTTCCAAAAGTGCGTCAGGTTTAGCTCAGGTTGAAAAGAAGAAACGGTCTCTGAGCATTGCAAGACTGATGTCATGTCCTGTGTCATGGGCACTTCAGGATGGTCAGGCTGTAACAGGGCAAACAGTTTATTTCTACATGGTGAAGAGGAACTGTGTGTCTGTTTCAACATTTCATACATCTGAGGTGAAGTTACTACAACACAGGAAGTGCCCTATCATCCACCCTTCCTTTCCTCTATTTACTAGAGCCCAAAGTACAAGTGAACCGTGGTTTACAAATCTGCATGCAACGAAATGCTGATGTAGCACAGATTATAGGCGTGGAGGCTTTACGCTAAACAGGTTAAATGTTGCAGAGGATAAACTGAATTGCTTTTAGCTTACATGTAGGAAATATGCTATGCCAGGCAGCTTGTGAAATTCCGGATGAAGAGTAGGGTTTGTGCAATACAGCAGTAATTAGAAGAGGGTGTCAAGATTTTAGGCAAACCTTCAGCTCTGAGATGTAGGGAAATTTGTATATGTAATATAATATTTATATAATTTGAAACAGTTAAAGAAGCAAGGTCAAAATCCTGATAGCAACTGTAAGGAAAGCAGCACTTTACTATTGGAAAATATGTCTGAAACATATGTGATTCCACATTGTTATAAAACACCTCGACTGTTAATTTCACATTTTCTTATCATGATATGCCAAAATGACAGTACGGTGCTTCTGGTGCCACCAAGTGTTACCACTGTTTCCAGTGTTGTTCATCAAGTGTCTGTTACAGCCTCCCTCTGTACGCTGGCAACATACCACTGCTGTGATAGATGTAGATGTGGAGAACATTTAGGCACCATTCATGCACATACTGTTGATGACTGTCATCAGGCGTCGGAAAGAAATGTAAGGTTTAGTGGATTCACTTGGGAAACTCCACCACAGTGATGCACCTGCCAGGTCGTATGAATGAAGCCCTGCACCTACAGACGTGGAACCAATGTGAGATTCATTAGAAGTCAGTCCTGCAGACGGACAACATTACTTCATAACTCGTATTGTTAATCGTGATGCATCAGTGCATAAGGAACATTTTACTAGTGTAACTGGTTGAGGCGGAGCTAGTTTCTGTTCATATACAGTTTGGTCCAGCCTGAGATTCAGGCACCCACTGGTGTTTCACATAGTACATCTGAATGATTATGAGATGATTAATGGATTAGGAGAGAAGAAAAAATGAAATTCTGCTACACAAATTTTTGTAGAGTTTTTATGCACTTTTCTCTAATCTTTTTTTTTGTTCTTTGGGCCTCAAACAATTATCGTAATGAAAACATCTGAGAGGTTTAGAGGGAAATTGAACTGCTAACAACATGTAGACATCTCAAATATTACAAAACATGACAAGAAGCCCCAACTACACACTGCTTTTTGTATGGGGGGGGGGGGGGGGGGGGGGAGGGGTGTCACAGGTCAAAAATATATTTTCCACTGATAGCAGGAAGTGACAGTTGTTCTGCTGCTGCTCATTCTAACTGTTGAGTAAAGCTGCGTCTTTAACACAACTAACCACTTGCTATAAATCAGATTGACAGATGAGTTGTGAATTACTGAAAAGTCTTTTAAAAGTTGCAGATTCTCAAAGTGGGCTCTGCTGCACTCACTTTCTTTACATAGGACTTGAATAGCGCAACCATGTCCTTAGATTGAATTTAGCAATCTGACGTTGAATCTCTGTGGTAAGAGGGCCACTTGAGGCAGAAGCTCATTGGCCGGTCTGAGGAACAGCTTACCAAATGCCAGTCTACAGTATGTATGGCTGATTGAACTTGGCTACAGACACAAAAAGCCCTCTCTGTCCTCCACTCTGCAGCCTAGAAAACATGCGGCGGGAAGAGCTAAACACACTTACTGGAAACCCTACCCGCTAACCAAACAACTGGACTGAGATGTTTTTTATTCAGCCGAGCCACAGTGGCTGTGATCACTTAGTTTATAATGCTGACTAGGTGTTGAAGGCCATTTAGCCTAACTTGAATGGTAAATATTTAAAACCTGTGTCAAACACGGTATCTAGTGCCGCATCTATTACCACGATACCTAAACACTGAGAAAAACTACAACCTGTCAGACACAAGAAAAATGAAGTGTTAAGACCTTCAACTTATGATTATTTTCATTGGCTTTGTTTTTTTGATTAGTCTATAAGATGTCCTGAAGCATTGAAAAATATGCTTCAATTTGTGTTGATAATAAGAGAAAAGCAGCAAATCCTCAAACTGATGAAGCTGGAACTAGAAATGTTTGCAGTTTTTTGCTTCATATATTATGCTTATCAAAATGTTGGATTCATTTTCTATTGATTAACTATTTGTTTCAGCACTAAAGTTGTTTACAGTTCAAAGTACCCCTACAGTAAAATGTATACACTTTTATATTACCAGCAGAGACAATCACAGCACACAGTGTTACGTAAAATGCATTTTGTATTACAAGTCTTTGAAACTGACAGGTTGATGGCAGAAGATTTGTCCAAAGGGAGAATTACAGTTACAGTAAGTCAAAAATGTCACATTTTTAGAAAAGAAAAAAAAAATCTAGATAATACAGACGGACATGGCTTGCCATTCACTGAACCAAAATGTTCTTGTTGGACTAGTACCTCGAGAAACGGCCCGAATCAGACCCTGAAACAGCAGGTCTGTTACAAGCTTAGCTTCCTGACAGTAAAATAAGAGGAGGCGCTTCTTATACTTTTGACACCAAATGAAACTAGAGAGTATACTGAAAACTGCTAAAAAGTTCTGATTGCCATCAAGACGCACTGCAGAGGAAGAAGGGCTCATCAGTTGGCACAGTCACAGGAGTTTTCTTAGGAAGGCACTTGACATGGGGTCATGGCTTTTCCCCATGCAGCGACAGCAATGCACTAAGGTCCTTGTTTGTGCACACTGAGGAGGGACACCGTCAGCTAAGTGCAAGTTCCATGATAAATCCACTTTCACCAAACCAGAGGGGGGGAGGGGGGGGTAAAAAAAAAAACAAAAATACATAGGCGTTACACAACTCCACCACAGTCCACAGCTTCAAATACAGTAACTTAGGTGGATCACACTAAATTGGGATTGGATTTGAGTAACCTGTGCAAGGCTTGAGTGGTGACTGATACGTTTATGAGAGATTTGAAATACTTGCAGGCCTCCTTCTTCAGCCAAAAGGCCCACAAAGTGACCAATCCCATCTCTGCCTGGGGATTTGGCATAATAACCCCCATCATTATCACCACCACCACCACCACCACCACCAATCTCCAAGACAGATGGACCCAGCCCAGAAGATGTAACAGTACAACTAAAAAAACCAAAACAAAACAGAAAACACGTGTCTCTTAGGTTTCACAATAAGACATTCCCATTGAGGCACATTTCCAGAGAAGTGTCATATACAAAGCTATAAAAAAATCCCAAAACATTCAAGTACTTTGTCATGTAAACACTTTTCCAGACTATTATACATAATCGATTGTTGTCGTCGTCGATTTTTGTTTATGTGCAACAATAAGACAACAGTGTGAGGAGAGAGAATACTTTTGCAAAAAGCCTGCAGGACATGTTAGAAGCTCAAATACAGCCCGGATGCACTGTTTCTGTATGTTTGTTTTTTGTTGTTGTTGTTGTTGTTGTTGTTTTTTGTTCTTTTTTAGAGCAGGACACATGAACAGCACTTGTCGCCACCACTGGGGACAGTTGAGTAGTTCATCTGTCTGACTATTTCTGCGAACAGTTCGTCGACTGATCCTTTATTTTTGGCTGAAGTTTCCATAAACGGGCAGTTCCAGTCCTGGGCCAGCGCCTTGCCTTCCCCGGAAGACACCTCTCTCTCCCCCTCCAGGTCCACCTTGTTTCCCACCAGGATCATGGGCACCCTCTCGTACCTCTTCACCCGGATGATCTGGTCTCTCATGGGCTTGATGTCCTGGAAGCTCTGCTGGTTGACCAGACTGTAAACCAAAATAAAGCCCTGCCCGTTCTTGATGTACAGGTCTCGCATGGAGGCGAACTGCTCGGTCCCCGCCGTGTCCAGGATCTCCAGCACCGACGGGGACGAGTCAACCTCGATCTCCTTCCTGTAGAAATCCTCTATCGTGGGGTCGTACTTCTCGATGAAGGAGCCCGTCACGAATTGGACCGTCAGCGCGGATTTGCCGACTCCGCCCGACCCCAAAACAACCACTTTGTACTCCCTCATGGCTGCGGGGGGGTGGTGGTGGTGGTGGTGGTGGTGGTGTTGGTGTTGGTGGGGTGGGGGGGAAAGAAAAGGCAGACACCTCCTTTTTCCGCGACGAAGCCTCCTCTCTCCCACCCGCTGACCAGCCCCGATGTTTTCAAACCGAGCAGGCTGGGAAGGCTGCGCTCTCGCTCGGATAGGAGTCGAATCCCACGCCGGCAAATCCTCCCTGGCTGCGCTGTGACGGCCGCGGAGCACAGATCCGAGGAGAATGACCGCTCCTGGACATTAGCGTGGTGAATCAAAGCACATTTTGATCGGACTGTATTGTGCAACGGTGCTGGGAAGCGTGATCGCTCCCCTCCTCTTGCATGGCGTTTCCTGCCCACATCCTCAGCGCGTCAAAAGCCGAGGCTCAGTTCCGTTTTCTTAAAGGAGCCGTCACCCGAAAGCTCGGTTAGAGCTCAGCAGCAGCAGCAGCAGCAGCTGACCAAACACATACGGCACGTCTGCGTGTCTGCATGACCCCTGCCCTCACTTACATCACGGTCATTGCGTCACGTAACTTTGATATGCAGATGTTACAGATGTTGTCTGGTAAACACGAAACTCCTGAGCTTTAATGTCACAGTTTCACCCAACCCCCCCCCCCCAAAAAAAATTGCTCTCTGTGGTTAGACTAGTGCTATGCTTGAAGCTAATTGGACCAACTCAAATCCACCCAAGTGCGATGCAAACAAACCTGTGTGTCTTGCTTAAAAGCTAAAAACTGAGACAAAGGGTTTTCAGCTGATGGAAATGAAATGTATTGTCAGCACTGTCCATTGCTAACTCTGGTGGTGATGTTCACACAGGCCTGGATACGTGTCACTCATCTTAATGAGCTGTCTACCAAGAGCACAGTTTTCACAAGATGAGGAAACCATCATCTGTGAAGCCACAACAGGTGTTAAAGCAGCAGTGTGAAAAACTAAAGCTTTCTGAATGGGCAAATCACTCATACTTTCTTTAGTTTTTCTCTCATTTATTTATTGTTGCGATGACTCCCCTGCACAGTGACCTTTAGTCTCCACATTATATCCAGCTCACCACTGGCCATATCTATAAAAAATACACTAAATGCCCCAAATGGCTGAATCACTGAAAAGCAAATCTTGGGCAAATGAGGCAATTGAATTGCATAGCACACAGTATTACAAACAGGAACAGATAATGCAAATAACTGCATCTGTAAGGACACTTAAGGACCCAGATACAGTTCAGTGGAGCTGGGGCAAATGACTCATTCAGCAGTTTTCCAGCCAGGAAGCTAAGCAACACCACTGTGTGTGTGTGTGTGTGTGTGTGAGAGAGAGAGGCTGTAAACCGTTGGCACTGCAGTGAAACAGTGACCTTTGAACCCATTTACTGTTGGGAGATGGGAGAATGCCCTAATGGATACACTAGAAATTTTAACTTGAATTATCTTGAAATTAATACACACTACATACTGTGTTTACGTTAATGGAAAAAAAGGATACATTGGCATGTTAATGAGGCCTTTCATGAAGCCATTAACCAATTTACTTATATCATTTCACTTACCTTCACACACATGGGCAACTATTATTTTATTATCAGTTATTTTCTTGATAGGTTGATTGATTGTTCAGTGTATAAAATGTCAGAAAATAGTGAAAAATGCCATTATTACCTGAAGCCCAGCTGACATATTCAAATTGCTTTTGTTTTCTGAGCAACAGTCACCAACCCAAAGATGTTGAGTTTACTATCAAAGAAAATTGAGAGAAACGCAAATAGTAAGATTTGAGAAGCTGATGCTAGCTGTGATTCCTGTGGCAATTTTCTTAATAAAGCTATTAAAGCAAAATGGCTCCCAGTTATTTTTCTCTCAAAGAAATATTTGATTGATCAACTAATCATTTTAGGTCTAGTGTGCTGGTCATTTCTGGTTGGGAAATAATGAAACGCCAATTGTACAGTGGGGGTCAGTGGGGATGCCCAAGCCTTCTGAACCTTATACACTTTCAAAGGGGGAAATAAGACTCCCCCGGTGTCATCAAAATGTTACGTTCATACACAGCACAATTTATATGGGCTTCATCTAACTTTTTTCTTTTTTTATAATCAGTTCTGACCCAGATAATTCTATACAAGCTTGTGAAAATTGCCCTTAGCAAAATCAGTTTAACCTTGCACATCTGTCATGAATCAGTCTCTGAGGAGCTGCTCCAGTCTTGCTGATACTGTATCCTCAAGATGATGACGACTGTTCATGAGGTCGAGTTGAATAGATTGTCCCATTCACATGAGACCTGGCAAAATATCACGGGAAATGAATATATCCATCTTTATATGTTAATAAGTCATTTCACATTAATATCTTAACGTTAGGGCATTAACTGATTAGTATAATGTGTTCATTTGACCCACACATCCATTACACACAGAGGCAGGGACCACATAACTGTTGCATGAGCAAATGAAATATTGTTTTATTCAGATTTTTTTTTTCATCCATACAGCAAGAGTCAATTATGGCAACAATAAAATGTGCATAAACAAATCTGTAGACAGAATAGTACATTATTGTGTGGCAACTGTTAGCAAATACATAATTGATGGTTGCACTTACAAGTAAAAAGCAGTCAAAGCGTACATGTGCCCCCAGCAGGGAAGAAAAACCTTGGCTCCAGCCAGGAGACTGAACATCTGATTTGGAGAAAATGGTGCTTTGGTTCTGTAGCGCCTACACAGCAGCCTCGAGTGAGAAACATGTTGACGCTGAGTGGCGACTGTTACATTCATTTCAACGACTAATTTGCCAAATAAGCATTTGGTGTGGTGAGCCTTCACCTGCTGAGTGCACAGATATGATAGCAGGAACGACGTCCCGTGAGTCAGTGTCGGCTGTAATTATATGGCTATGAGAAAGTATCCGGGGTGGATGAGTGCTAATATTTTATCATTCTTTAAATAACATGTTTGCTTGGAAAAATATTTTATCACACAAGAGTAAGATGACTTGTTTTTGAAGTATTATTTCTCCCCACTGTGGATGTTATCTACTGTATGTATAATTTGAAAAAACATATTACTGTGTATCCTGTAGTCTGAATGTGTTATCTTTCCTTACATACTGTAACTATGCAGTTTCTTTTGTTTACATGTTTGTATTTTTACATGCAGTCAAATCAAACTATAATAGAATACAAAGTTTTGATAGTTTTATGTATCACCTGTACCATGGGAGCAGCAATACTGCATTACCAAGTCCAACAAATGATATATGGACATCACTGGATATGTCATCCTATGAGAGTGGGTGGAGTTAGCATGACATGGGGACATCTATTCCCCTACAACATTCCCTGGCAATACTAGCCACTGATAAAATAAGACAAAAAGCGCATAGCTTTCTCTGAATGCATTGGCCAAGAAACTAGTGCCCTTCTTTGCAAGCAATTTTTTAGCTGGTCTTCTAATTTAAGAATTTAAATTAATCTAACAAAATTCCTTATAATTATAGATATTTTTTTATTCAAAATAATATCTCAATATGATACACATTTTTTCTCTGTTCATTTGACTATATACAGAAGTGCAAAAAGTCAACCTTCGTCCCTTAGGTTAGAACTCATCATCTGCAGCATTTTGGACTTCTCCAGTCTGGAAAAGTCTTTGCTTTCTCGCTCCTAATCTCACTATCGACCAAACATCCAGACACCCGTCAACCTCACTGCTCGTTTTGGCCTGACATTCAGGGCAAACTTAAGAAATATTCAAACAAAAGTACATATCTTTTTGAAATGGATACAGTAGAAAATAATTTTTACTCTAAAACATGGACAATCTATATCTCAATACAATATATTTTCAAACATGATCTTGACATGTTACAAGGAAAATTTAAGTTGGTTAAAACTTTAGTTTTTTTGTTTTTTTATCTACTCAGATGCTGCAGTGGCAGCAAATTAATTGATCTCATTCCTTGTATCAAAAAAGTCTTTCATCGACAAAGTTAAGTGATAATGTAACATCAACTGAAAAAGACATCCAGCTATATGAATGAAGTGAATATTTAAAACTGACTCAACACATTATCATTTATATGGTTTGAAAAAGTTATGAATGTCATACTACCTCAAAATCTACAACGGCTATATCAATGTTGTCAAGTAATATATAGTAAGGCAAAAAAAAGAAAAATCTACAACTACATACCTCAAATAGATTCAAATCCTTAAGTAGTACATAACACATAAGTTCAATGAAATTTAAGAGAGTAATTGTTACTTTTACATAGAGAGAATGAACAAAAAAAGAGATCATAAGCGGCATGTGAGAGAACTATAAAACATCATTGGTGTTCTTTACCTGCATGGTGATTGAAAGTACATTTGATTGGGCTGGGACCCATTAATTGTAATCTAAGGCTTTGTTAGGTACATTACAATCGGTAAAGACACTACACACCTCTGTGAGAACAGAAAAGGAAGTGATCGTAAAACTGACGATGAATGAAAGATGATAAACATGTCTCCTTAACTGTTCAAGCCTCTTAAGAGATGCGTCTATAACCCTTTATGAATACGATTGAGAGAAAAAACTGTGCTTTGGTTTCCATAGTCAGATCTACATGTGAATGAGAACCTTCATGTTTTGCTTGAAATACAAGTCAAAGTCATACAATGTGCCAATGTGTTGTATTTCCTCAAAAATGAAAGTTTCGATGTGATGGGATGTGAAATTAAAACAGGGTGATCAGACAAACAATCATTCAAGTGCACATGTGGTTTAAATGACCTAACAGACCTTTGGGTCTGTTGTTTTAAATTCCCATCAACACATGGCTCAACAGTGCTTCTTGGAGAGTCGCCCCTCTTTAAAAGAGGGGGAGCAAGGTAACACAATGTCATTTGAAGCTACACCCTCTACTTCACCAGGCTTTAGAGTCAATGGACTTGAGCAACAACTTAATCCCAATAAAGAAAAACAACACTAGTCTATGAAAAGAGGTATGACAAACTTTAGAAAAACCATCCATTTTTGATTTCAAAAGAAAAAAATTAAAAATTAAAACAAAAAATTGGCAAAAAAACCACTTCTAAAACTGATTAATTCGATTAAAGTTAAAAAAAAAACACTCAATGGAGATTCTGAAAACAAAAACAATACAAAAAGAGCCATACAAAACTTTTACCTTCGGTAAACAAATAACACTGCTGAGATAACACTCTGGTTTTAGCTGTATGGCCTTGATGGCACATGACAAGGTGAGAAAAGCTAGCCTGGCTGTGCTTTCAAGGTACACAGGTATGTTGGTTTACCCAGAACATTCATATGTCCAAGACCCTCATTTCAACATCTAGTTTCACTAGTAGCCGTAAAAACACAATACTGTACATGCCTAATTCTTTTGGCGAAAAAATTCCTGTTAAAATCATTGTGCCTTTGAGATCTCAATTCAAATTCAAGGTGCATGTTTGCATTTAACTTGTAAACTATGAAATATGGCTATCAATTAAACAAAGTAAAGCAGAACAAATAAAAAAGGAAAAAAAAATCTTGGTCTACTAACGTACCAGCACTGGATGTTGCCTCATGCAACCACGTTCTTGACCTTCTGTGTGTGCAGTTATGATAATAATTAGAACAAATTGAGTGCTATGATTTAGTCGGACACAGAGGTGTAACGTGAATGTTTCCCACCGCGGGGTGACACACTGACCCTGGCACCAAGATATCCTCTTCTCTCGGCTGGACGTTGAATTTGACAACGAATTCTTCTTGACATTGATATGTGGGAAGATGGCACAGATCATGTGTTGCACCCTAGATGTTTACATGTGTTATGAGACCATCATCGTGGACCGGCTAAGAGATGGCAGACCCTCCTTGTCTCATTGCTTGACATTCTGAAGGTTATGTACATAAAGGCTGAACTCTTTTGGCTTGGACGGTGCCAGCACACATTCATTTGATCTGTAAGACATAACGTATTTCACTTGAAAAAAAAAACAAACACTCATTTTTCTGCATTAAAAGTAAGTTTTGCAGAGGAAGACAGAATAACAAACTTTGCAAATAATGACAGAGATAATATGAGGACTGAAAAAGGAACTCACTGTTCTTGAGAGGAACTACATTTGAGTCAAGTACTTGTGACTACTCAGATGATCTGCAGATATTATTGGAATCTGGGGGGTAGAAAACAAACAGGGATCAACTGAAGCACCGAAAAACACTCAAGGTGGACGTTGGCTCAACACATCTTAACCACATCCTCTCACATTACGATGAATTCATTGCTGAAAAAGGATGAAGATGGCAAGATAGAAGAAGCAATTTGGCTACAGTTTGGCACGATTCCTTCAGACATGACATGTCAATAAGAATCAACAGACACTTCTGGGCGGCAGGGCAGTGAGGAGGAGGACTGAAGGGAAGGGGGAGATGAGGGGGGCAGAGGGAAACTGTCAGTGAGGTGGCTCCCCCATGCAAATCTAAGTCCTCCATGTTGTTGACCTGCACACCTCAATAAAATGCAGAACACTGGTTCTTGATCAGGAGTAATAACAAGATGATTCATCCTAACCTTTCAGAAATCTTTTTTCTCTGGTATGATGATATTGTGTAATGTAGCTAAAATCCCTTTGCCAGAGCTGAGATCAAAATGTCACAAATCAAAACTACAGACTGATTTTAGAACTTTTCTGACTTTAATAATGAGTAAGTCCAGCTTTTAAACACAAGGAACATGGTAAAGCTTTGCTTTACGTGCTGGAAGCAGCAGCGAAAAAAGAAATAGAAAAAAAAGCCAAGCACCAAAGGGCACAGATAGCGACTGTTGCACAAGCTGTGCGAATGGCTCTAAAAAAATGTGAAAAATAACTACCTCATACATACCAATTGCATGTATTCGTTGGTAGTCAACTTTGATAAGGAAGAGTCCTCAAAATGGGAAAGGACAAAAATTGAGGTTACAATGAGGACACACATTAAATGCAATACAGTATGTTTCTCCAGAAAGACAGATAATCTATGTAATGTATAAAATTAGAATATGGTGGATATAGTTACTGTAAAATGGATGCAAGATGTCCTAAAACTTGTTACAGGTATGATATGTGTACACATGTTGGACTCCTGTGTAGGCCAACAAGAGGGAGTACCGCCTTTTACCCAACCCACCCCTTGCTGTAAGACACAAGCATCCCCAGAGTGCCCATGTGCATTGAAAGACAGAGATGAGATAGATAGATAGATAGATAGATAGATAGATAGATAGATAGACAGACAGACAGACAGACAGACAGATACAGTAGATACATAGATAGATAGATAGATAGATAGATAGATAGATAGATAGATAGATAGATAGATAGACTGATAGACTGAGGCGGTAGAGGTGCAAACCTGATTGGTGGAGGCAGTTGCGAAGGGAACGCTTGTGGCAGATGTGGTGGCTGCAGACACAGTGGCTGGAGTACCACCGTGCATCATGGGAACTTTTTTGGAGGGAAAATCATGTAAGCAAAAATACACAGAGGAGCAGTGTAGCCACATACACACCAGGCAAATGGAGGAAGGAGAAGGAGAGATAGGGAGTCAGAGAGATTCGATTTAACCCGTTCCCTTTCTTTCCTCTGCCGACGCTGATAAGACGTCTTGTGATCTGAGAACTTGATGAGCCAGTGTAGCTGTTGCAGCAGCATCTTACTTCCACATTTGTCTGTATGCTCAGAAATACAATGCCGAATACTGTTCTTTATTGGTTTATTCCAGATGAGAGCTAACTTTCAAAAGCTATACAAAAAATAACACGTAAATAAAAGCGCCGTCACATGAGTCTTAAGAATGAGTCTTAACGGCAGAGGAGATAACAGGAAAGGTTATAATTGAACTCCCTCAGTTTTTAAAAAAATTTTTTTTTTTTTAAAGGGTTTTCAATTGGTGTCAGGTTAGACCAGCCAAAAGCCAAGTTTAGAACAGCATGAGAAGGAGAGTGTTCGAGCAATATACAGTAAGTACACAGAGAAATTAACAAAATAAAGGTCAGTTAAACTATTATTATGAACTGCCATACTGGCCATATACAACATTTAAATTTCACAAGATTTGTCTTTCTTTTTGCTTATGCTTCACATAAAAAAAAAGTTGTCCTCACGCAACCAAAACAGTGACTCTCAGGTCACCAGAATCTTATATAAAAATCACCAAGTAGCTATGAATACTGTACATTTCACTGGATGGTTAGATTTTGATGACGTGAGTCACAGACATGAGGTTACAGATAACTGAAGAAGGAAAGCTGGAACCTACCAACGCTGGCTGCAGGTGTCATGCACAATATTGAGCCTGCCCATCATGCAGTGCAACAGGAAGTGGATTGGGTAGGGAAGAGAAATCAAAACAGCCCATCACAAGGTTCGTTAGAGTGAGGGGAGAGATAAGGTGGGAAAAAAAGGTTAATATCTCTTGGACACAGTCATCAGTGATTGGAAAAGGCGAAGTGGTGAACGCATCATAAAGAAATCTGTTAATCAAATGAGAGTCTAAACTTTTGTCTGAAGTGTAATGCATATGAATGTGTAATACGTCAGGAGTGACAGTGCAGTTATATGATTGAAACTATCAAGTATTAAACATTATATACACACTCTAGACAGAAGTGAGAGGAACAGCAGATGTGTACAGAAGCCAGACTCTGCAGCATTGCTGTTTGTTGCCAACTCGAGGTGCAAGATACCACTAATCACCCCATCCAGCCCCATTCATCCCAGCCCAAGCCAAAACCCCGACCATGGTATCTCATGAAAACATGAGTGACCACACCATGGGCACTCTAATCTAACAAGAAAAAAAAGTCCTCTCCTTTTCTCTTACAAACGTCCATGCCTTCCTCAATCAGTCTGCATGTGCTAGGAGGAGCAGGTAGCTATGTGGAGTTATATTAAGGCAATTAGTAGGCAGAAAGAGATTCTAATCTAATCTCAACTAGTGGCCATGCAGTGCCATACAAAGCATAGTGCACAAATTTGTTAAAGAATTTTTAGCTTTAAAAGTGCAGTTTGAGATATTCATGTTCAACCCTCAATGGCTGAGAATAAAATCTAAAGGTTTTATGTTTAAATATCTTTGTAACTTCCTTCTATCTGAAGAAAAAAAAAGAATAGTATGAAACTGAACTGTTCTGTACTGCAGTCTACCACTTTGCCCAACCCCAGCCAAGCAGGAGCCAGGTTAGACTGATCCAGGCATCCTCTGGGTGATCAGAGCACTAGCGGTGGTTGCTTTTGGAGCCATACCTGATGGGAGGAAAGCTGCCTGCTGCTGAAACTGCATGTTGGCCAGGGCCTGTTGGTATTGGAGCATGCCGGTGTTAAATACGGCAGAGGCCCCGTTGGCCTTCTCCAGGGCTGCCCGCTTTGGCAGGGGAGCCATGACATTAGGGGCGATGCCCTGCCCAGCCAGACGGAGGGAGGTCAGTGAGAAAGGAAATAAAAAAATAAAAAAACAGATAGAAAGAGAGAGAGAGAGAGAGAGAGGTGTGTGGAAAAGACAGAGAGGGTGTGTTGGAGAGAGGCAAAAAAGAAAACAAAAAAAGGTACATACGTTAGAGGACATTGTAGGAACAGCATCACAACATCCTTGTGTGTACAACAACAACAATATCATCATATCATCAGTAGCAAGCAAGCAGCAGTCTGACACAAGTACTACACAAGCAGGAGCATGGTGCCTACTCGAGCTACTGGCTAACAAGCATTAATATATTCATTATTTTATCAGGAAGCTTACTTGGATTCATTAACTTTGTACTACTATGACTGACTAAATGCAACATAAGCAAGCATTAACTATTAAAACAATAAGGCTGCTAACAAGAGGTGGAACAAGTAGGAAGCACAGAGAAAGGGAGGCTGCACTGCTAGCTCCATGATAAACTGTGTAAGCCATGTTTAAGTGATGGTTCACTCTCAGACAAATGTCAAAAATGGTCTCAGGCCAAGGGACGCAAGTCAGATGTAGAAAAATATATTTCAGGTGTCAATATTTACACCATAAAATGCTCTGTACATGGATTTTATCTTCGCATGAGGCCATTCCTGAGGTCTGAATATCTGTGACAAGAATTGATGATGGAGTGAACTATCATTTGAACTGTAATCATCTGTTATGGTGGGATCACTCCTGTAGGGTTTTAAAGACTGTTCCTCTTAGCCCCACCCTTATCCATCTGACATGCACTAGCAACACAGACATGCACACATTTGACTGAGCTGCTCCACAACACTGACCACTGACTTGGACATAAGACTAAAGCCATGCCACCATTATAGAAGCGCTTCTTCCCTAGCTCTCGCTGACTTTTGTTAAATAGGCAACAGGTGATGAATTGATTGTGGCTCCTCATCACAAATTCTGCATTTGAATTCGTGTTTGAGGTGATTTTCTAAGTGACGAAAGTTGTTTGGTGTTGTATGAGAGCTAAAGCCCTGAAAGCCACAATCATTTTATCACAGGCAATAATGACAGATAAACAGGAGGAAAAAACAGACATTGCACTGAGACAACGACAACAAAAATAGCTAGGTATCTTTGGTTAAAACACTGCTCTACAACAAAGCCACATGCCAAGCTAAAAGGTGAAAGGTCATAGTACCAGGTCAAAGGTTGCGTCGAGGGGTCGCTTCAGTGATTTGACAGCCGACTGAGTCTTAATTAGCAGGCAGCGAGCACATGATGGCAATGGGCCAATGGGGTTCAAGCGCATTAACATAAACCAGCAAGCAGAGGTGCATCATGGGGGCAGCAGTGCAGTTTGGGTATAGGTGAGAAAAAACAAAAACAAATAAAAAAACAAATCATTGGAATGCAATATACAAGGGGATAACAGGACTAAGGCATGCACAGTGTGGACACTAGCTCTACTGCTCAACAGTTAAATGATCATCAATAATCAATGATAACAACTAATCTACATTAGTTATTGTCACACAAAGATGGGTGAATATAGCGATGAGAAAATTATTCAATCATTACTTGAAGTGGGTCTCAGTAATCATATTGGACAGAAAATATGGAAGCACAATTCACAGGTTTCTGTTTCACTGTGCACATCATAGTCAGTGTCACATTACAATGATTCACCCCAAGCTCTATGCTTCACTATGTCAATAAGAGCATGAAGAGAACACTGTGATCAACAGACAAGTTTGGCTGTATTACTATTCACGGTGCCGTTACTGTGAGACAGGACTGACAGCACAATGAATCCTTTTTAATAATGTCAAGAGGAAGAGAAGTAATAGACAGGAAGCACAGAAACAATGGAGTCACAAATAAGACCAGGGCATCAGAGAGAGAAAGAGAGAGGAACTGACTCTCTGGTTGTGGTACTGGATGAGATGAACAAGGAACAAGACAACCGTTTTTTTGTGATATTAGGAAAAGTAATGACGAAAATAATGACGGTTACAATGTACCATTGTCCAATCCTTCTTCATATCATCCAGCTCTGAGGATTTTTTTTACCCAAACCAACATGCAGACCTTTAAAATTTGACCTGGCCAAAGCAGAACTGAAAAGCTACATAGTACCAACCGGGAAGGGTGAGACATGTTCAAACACAAATATGAGTATGAGCCACAGAACATATTCCCTACTGTGTGATTTCATTTATAATAAATAGACAACCCTGATGTACATTTAATTGCTCCTTAGCCTTCTTGTGTAGGTGTGAATGAGTGTGACCACGCTTGTACAGACTGCTCACCATGGCCGCGGCGGCTGTGGCCTGGTTCACCTGGTGCTGGGCAGCCTTAATTTTGGCCTGCAGATGGGCCGGCGGGTGGAAGTACTTGCACTTTTCCCGGGAGCACCGACCCTTGATGTAGTCCATGCACACGGTGACGGTGTTGTCGTTGGTGTCGATCATGGTGCTGTCTGCAGGGTGGGCAAAGCGACAGTCGTTCTCTCCCCGGGAGCAGTTGCCTCTCTGATACTCCCGGCACACCTGGAAACAAGGTGAGAGGAGAGAAATAATGAAGAGACAGATTCAGCACTGTTTGTGGATACAGCACAAGAGTATTTCCCTATAAAACATTTCCTGCTTTGTCTCTTCATGCAGAATATATCAAGTTAAGTGTACCATTAAGTGTTCATTTTGGACACTAGTTTTATAGAGGGAGTATATTTACCAAAATCTATTAAACTTAAAAACACATGAGACCTACAGTACAATAAATAATAAACAGATCAAAATGCTTTACAAGATTATGTTCCCCTTGCTGTGGCCTTCCTCTACCCAATATCCTGTCACACCAAACACAAGATCTATACAGGTGCATGGCAACACAATGAACTTCCTGTTTACCAACAATTACTATATAGTTTCTGTGTTTGGTAGTGGATGGATATTACCCAAAGGAAGTTCAAGGCGATACTAAAACTACTCCACTTAAACAAATAAAACACAAAATGTTATGATTAAGTTGTATGCGTATCTGTAAGAAGAACTGTGATGTGTTTGCTGAGTGGTGCATGAGGCTCAGACATTTAAAAAAAAAAAAGTCTGTATGTGAGACACCAGGGGGCAGCACTTTCTTATAAGTTAGAGTTATCATGAACACATGGGTATCCTATAGCTTAGATAAATGTCTGCGCCATGAAGATAAAAAAAGTTGTATTTTTTTACTTTGCTTTTTACTTTTCCTGATGGGATGAAAAAGAGGAACTCCACTGTATACATTTTTACTGCACGCACAAACTAACAAACAAACTCAAAACTGCATCTCTTTCTGGTCCATTTTGTGGTTTTGTGATACATACATATTTTAAAACATAAAAGATTCTACGAGGCAAAAATAATAATAATTTCTCATGTTACTGGAGTTGCAATGACCAGGTTTCATTTTTATTGCTGTATCTCAGAATCAACGAGCAAAGGCTTCTTCCTTGACTCTGCAGTGTAACAACCATGCTAGTTGAGGAAGACACAGTTATTTCTCTGCTCACACTGTCCTCGACAGACCACGATTCAATAATGCCACAACAAATGTTATGCTTTGAGCAGGGGTTACAGTCCTGAGTTCGTCTTGACTAGAAAGAATGTGTTCCTTTGCTGTTGCTATTTTATTACTAAGGCTTTGGAAATTGTTACTGCTCTCTCTACTCAAATAAATATTCAGCAAGTTCAGGCTCATCTCTGGTGCTTATCTAATGACATTTTGCGAAGCGTGCTGTACGAAATCATGGACTGTACTGGATCGAGATGAGGTAGATTAAGCGTAGGGAGCAGTTTCGTCAAAAAAGCAAACAAAATTCCTCTTGGAATTCACTCAAAATTGAAAGCTGATGAAATGTTGTAACTCTCACAGTTTTATTTTTAATCTTTCTTAATAATGGTACTTGCTATTAATATTATAATTCAGTTTCAAAAACAGTTTGTGCAAGTCCAATAAAGGGTGCGATTACTCTTATGCTTGTTAAAGCACTTGTTAACAGCACTTGTCTTGTTTATAGGCTCATTATCATCCTGGGGACTCTGCTCCACCTAAGAAAGAAACACACCATCATGTGTAGAGTTTATTAGATATTTCCCTAAAAATATTTGTGAGGAGTGAGTTGATTCTGTGCCACATAATATGTCCTTGCCCCAAAACAAACTAAAAAACTAGGTCCTATCTGTCAGTCTGTCTGTTACCTCAAGTCTGTCTGTTCTCAGCAGCTTCTGGGCTGCAGCAGCTGCAGCGTTGGGGACTTGGCTGACGGTGGGGCTGGAGGCCATGAGGACAGGGGTGCTGGGCAGGATCTCTTGGGGCATCAGGCCTGGTGACACAGGGCTCAGGTAAGGATTAAAGGCAGCGGCTGCAACTGCTGCTGCTGCACTGGCGTTGGTGGCCAGGCCTGGCGTCACTGAGAACATAGGCTGGAAGAGAACAAAGTAAAGGCAGAGAAATGAAACAATGGTGGATAAAACAGGTGAAAAACCTCAAACAGTCAGCTTTTTGTAGGGGAAAAGGGACGGTTGTAGGGGAGAGGGACTGTTGGAAAAAGACTGAAAGAGCCACACAGAGAGCGAAGGAGCTGCATATGTGCAAGCTTTTACATGTATGTGATCTCACCATGGGCAGTAGCTGTGGTATGTTCATACGTGTGTGTCCTCTCACCATAGGTGGTAGCTGCGTGCCGGGCATCATGGCGTTCGCGAGCTGCATCTGCTGGGCCAGCATGGCCATGTTCTTCTGCTGGATCAGGTTGTTCCTCCCATTGATCTCCAACTGGGTCTTTAGGTGAGGAGGAGGGTGCAGATACTTGCAGTTCTCCCTGGAACAACGGCCCTGAAGGAGGTATGAATGAGAAAATATGGTATTTGTACAATTTATGGAATAAAATATGTTGAAACAAAAAGGGTAGAGTTTTCGAGGAAGTGACTTGGACACAGTTTCCACTGGCTAATGCTGACATATTTCACTTGTGCTCTGTCAAAATTCAGCAGGTTTTTTTCTGTTTTAATGAACTGGGTTGTCATCCTGCAATGCTGACAAACTTAAAAAAAACAAATCGTGGTCTCTACATCAACCTTTATTGTGTTCAATGCAACAATAACAATAAGTTTTGGTATGATAAGTACGGTACCTTATTTAGCTAGCTCAATGTCAGACACTCAAATTCACATTAGGTCTGGGTTGAGTCTAGCAGTAATTGTTAACAGCTTGCTATTTCTGTCAGTCCCAGCAGGGACATGTGCACGTGCGTGCGTGTTCATGGGTGTGTGCTGGCCCCAGGAGGTCATGACTGACACTGTGGTGCTGCTGGCCAGACGTCCAGCTTAGCTACATGTCTTACTGACACTATAAATACTGCCCACTCAGATGATCCGTATATATTGTATCAGCAGTCATCCGGAGGTCACACTTCAAAGCCTTCGAATAATTATCTAAGACTGGGATCCCTTTTTGCTGCCTGCTGTGAGTATCCAATTATACCTTCAGTCTGGAAAGGAAGAGTCAAGGAAGAAGCCGGACACACACACAAGCACATTCTCACACACGCAAGAATGCATACTCATTAGTACATGCACACCGGGGTCATGTTCGCATAACAGGTGGCAGATACACATCACGCAAACATAAGAGAAACGCACACACAAACACGTCCACAGTTTAGGAAAGACGTGTATTTACTTTCAGCCCTGTGGCACAGCTGAGCTGACTGTGGCGGCCTGTGCTTTCCCTCGCTGACAGAGCTGTCCCCACTGGGATTCAGCTCTATACTCTGTCATGACTTCATTCCCCTCTCCCATCTCCCTCACTTTCACTGACACTGGAGCACAAGACAGGTGCGAGGGAAAGAGGGGGAGATAAGGAGCAGGGTGGGGGCACACTTAAATGGCAGGGGGGCCTCTAAGATTTTTTTTTTTTTCCTTGTCTGAAGTTTCTATCTCAAGTTCTCTTTGGATCTCCTTTTAAAATTATTTCAGATTGTGTTGCATAAGGCAGGTGACAGTAACACAGAATGCATAGAGTAGGATTACAGCCACGTCTCCTCTACTCTGTGCCCTTGTTATCTTTCCTAATGCCTCAATAACTGCAGGGAGCACATGAATGAGGTGCTTGTTGTTAGTCGTCAGTTTCCATATAAAATCTCTGCTGAGAGCTAAGTGACAGAAGGATCTGTCTATCTTCCTTTAAAATTCTAGTAAAGATCTACTGCCTATGATATTTCTATAGGTACCAAAGATATAGATGAAAATGTGCATAAAGTCAAGGCCCTTTCCTGTTGATGTCTGGATTTAATAACCGCTAACGGTGTGTGTAATACACCTTCAGTGAATTAAAGATACAAGTGGATATAGGGACATATCACAATTTTTGTATAGTATTGAATAAAATGGGTGTTTATATAACTTTGAACCCATTTAAAAGGGAAATTTAGGCGCAGTGTAGCTGAGTTCAACCGAAGCAAAACTTTCCATGCCGAGGCAAAGGTCTCCTGTTAGCATGCAAGACTGACCAGGATGTGCACTAACTGTGTGTGCATACGCTGAGGTGGCATTCAGATGAATTCTGACACTGACAACTCTGAGAGGTGTGTGCGTGGGCGAGCGTGGCATGCATGTGCGTGAGACGAGAGGAGCTGAAAGTAGGTCCTAATAGCACTCATCCAGAGAGTGACAATGGCATGCAATGAGGGGAGGGTGAGAGTGTGTGGAGAGTGCGTGGGGGCTGGTTGAAAAGGCATAGAGGATCACATTGCTTTCACCCCATATGACCCCAACTGTTGACCGCTGGCTTCACAACTGCAGTGGTATATATATGTGTGTGTGTGTGTGTGTGTGTGTGTGTGTGTGTGTGTGTGTGTGTGTGTGTGAAGGTGGGAGGGTAACGTCTCAGAAAAAAACATGTGGTTTTGACTTTACTTTAGCTAATTTTATCTGCCTTCCTGCCGAATCATCCAAAGAAAAAGTCACCAACGATCACCGGCAGCCATTTTGAATAAAAAATCAGGTCCCAGAAGAGGAAACGTCAGGCTGTGTGAGTGGAAGAGCAAGAGAGAGAGAGAGAGAGAGACAGTCATAGTGACTCTGTAGCAAGAGCCTGGCTGCGTCAGGGAAATTTTAGAAGTTGCAGAAGAAGTGATCAGTGTGGGCCATCACATGCAGGGAGGAGAGAGAGAAACAGAGATGCAGACAGACGGAGGGGAGGAGGAGGAGGAGGAAGACGTCGCCCCTCACATCATGTTTGTGGCTGTTATTGTGACATGAGCGGCCTTGAGGAGCAGCTAGAGACGGTGTCCACGGCAACAGAGCAGCCAGTAACTCCTGCTCTGACAAAGCTGTGATTCCTGGAACCTTCCCGATCGCTGGCAGATACAGGAACTCAGCAAAGAAAATATTACAGATGCAGCCGAGCCTGCAGCCACAACTAGTCCAAGAGTAGAGGGCATCCAGACGCCAACCCTCTCTGTCCTGTTTCCTGGCCTTTTATTATATCTGTGCTGCTAAAACAACCATCATGAAAAAGCTGATACTCCAGATGAATGATAAAGATATCATCTTATCGCTGACCTGCTCTTTTGTCTCCATAGAGGAAACTAGAACAGAGAATTACATCTTGTTACACCGACACCATTTATATCAGGTAAAATCAGATGCGCTATGGAGACCCACAGACGGCTTCCAATCACAATTTTCATGGCACTCTGAGAAAATACTTGATGAGAATGTGATTAGAGAATAAAGTGATTTGTCACTGCTCAGTGCTTGTGCCAGAATTGACGAGAACAATGAAGCGAGCAGCTTCGGAATGATTAATCCACGTCATTAGTTGATTCTCTAGAGTCAGTGGGTTGATGAGCAGAGAGCAGTTACATATTTGTTTCAGGAATGTTTTTGCTACTCTTGACTCGTGATATGGCAGATATCAGTATTTCATATGTGTTTTTCCTTACAGCAAGAGTATTGTTTTATCAAGGGTTACAATTCCAAAATGACAAAAGTGAAAGTTATTATAATGTTAAATTATGATATGTCTAAGAAATTGGTTGTTGTTACATAGAAATGTCTTGTGAAATGTACAAATTGCAAAATGACTAAAGAGGTAATTGATAGTTGGTTTAAACTACAGTGCTGAATAAATAAGTAAATTGTTTCAAATCTCATTTTGTAAAATATTTTAATTACTTTAGAAAACAGAATTAATCATTTTCAATGCAAAAGACCATTAATGATTAAACTGAATTATTATCAAGTCCAGTTTCCTTTAAAATACATAATACAATAAGATATTATGTTGTTATATTGTCATGTCAACAGCAAAGTCACTCCTGTTTTTCTCAACATGCTCCTGCTGCTCTACTGAACTTTTCCTGTCTCCTACAAGCTCAGCTCAGGCTGTGTTTTGTATTAATAGTGGGGGGTCTGTGTTTCTCCTGGTGAGATCAGACTTGCCAAACTGGGAACAATAATCCCACTGGCTACTGTGTACTCTGATTGATGATAAGTTGTAATAACATGTCCCACCCTGATCGCGCTTTCTCTCTCCTAACTCTGTCTCTCACCGGTACGCACGCACGCACGCACGCACGCACACACACACATACACACACACCACACCACACCACACACCCTGCTTTTGTGACTGTGGGATTTAAACAAACAATGAACCAATGTGTAAAGAATGCTGGGTGGGGCTGCATCCCATCCTTTGGAGGAGAAGAGACGAAGCATGCAGCAAGATGTATTAATGTGTGTGTGTGTGTGTGTGTGTGTGTGTGTGTGTGTGTGTGTGTGTGTGTGTGTGTGTGTGTGTGTGTGCGCGTCAAACGAGGAGTGAAACTGTAGAAAAGTGCAGAAAAACTGGTTTCTACTTAAGGGCAACAGTAAAATGTATCTAGTAAACCAGTAGGTCCCAACCTTTTTGACTTGTGATTACTTGCTGCTGTTGGTTTATATGGCACCACGGAGGTTAGGGCCAAAATACATCACTGATCTGCTATGAACTGTTGCTGAGACAGGTCTGTTTGTTATCAGAGTCAATGCAAAACAGCAGCGTACAGTTTTTATACAAATTTTATACAACAACCTAAAACATGAGCTTGTTTTTTTACTCTACTTACTACTCCAAGTTCTTTTAAAACGGAGGCTAGAACGTTTGTTTCCCTCTGCCTTTACATCAAATTAAAACTGTGAATATTCATTTACATCTTGTACTTCACTCATTTGTATTACACTCACATTTAAAAGCACCTTTCTATTGCCCTGTCTTTTTTTTAATATCTTGTCTTAATGTCTTTTTATGGATTATGTAAAACACTTGAAATCATCTTTAAACACAGCTGCATAACGGCTGCTTGCAACCGCTTCTTACAGATTGCACATATGACTGAGTTGTGACTTCAACGACTTCTTTTTATTCTAATAATTCATAAAAGGCCTGAGGAGGTAAAACTGTGTTATTCACAAGAACAGAGAGAGAGAAAAATAAAAGTACAAAAATCAATTTTGTGTAGAAGAATTTTTTTTTTCTCCTTTCCTATCTTGTTAAACATCTCATGAACCCTTAGATCTGTCATGTGTGCCGACCCCATTTGAACTAGTGCAATAAAATTTCCTGTGGGAAAGATTGTGTGAAACCCTTACTTTCAGGTGTTTATCTGCTTTGCATCACTGATAGGAAGCATCACCTCTGAATAGGTGCTTCCTACATATAATGTGCATCTTTCAAAATGTGCTAAACTCACAGTTACTATTTAACCAAATCTATTTTTCTTCTTCTCCTTGATACTCCAGTGTTGTGGTGTGATGTTGTGGTGTGAGACTCAGTCGTGTGGGGTTCTG